CATTGTGTAAAAATAAAGAAAAGATTGTACATTGTTGCTTTGGTTTCCTTTAAAGGGTTTGGTCAAGTACTTACTAATCTTCATTGATAATAGTGATATATCAGAACTAGGACAATTTTTTTATGATATCTGAAAATGGGATAATGCATAGGGATGTGGATTCATGCCTTTCTCAAGAATATTCATACTGACTATAAGCAAACTTAGCAGGAATTTGAACTTTTATTTTCCATTTTGATAACATTATGCTACCTATGTTTTGTACCCACAGATGAAAATGTTGCTAGCCTCTATCATTATTACTATGGTAAATATTATTAAAATGAGCTATATCCCTTAGTTCCACCAGTTCAGACCTTCCAGATGGGACTCTCATTCCCATTGTGTTCTTTTGGTAAGGAGTAAGCTTCATTCATCATCTTCCCCAGAACTGTCATTTTGTGGAACAGACTCCCAAGGGGATGCTTCCTCAACCACTATAATTTTGAGGTTCTCAAGTTTAGGATCAACTGATATCTATACTACATAGATTTCCTAACCCTCTACCTTGAGTGGCTTTTGGGATTTAAATTAAGTGAACAATAGTAAAAAGAAAAATACAACTATATTTTTGTACTGGTGTGATATTTATAACTTACAAGTTGAAGTTGTACAATCTCTAATTTTTTATTGATGAAACTCAAAACATTTTAAATTTAATTAAGGATGTATGCACACTTGTGCAACAAAGTATATTATTAGTTTAATTCTTATTTTTTTTTAAGGTGAAACTCATCCATCAACATTCTTGAATAAAAAATTGTCCCAAGAAAATGCATTAGGCTGTTCAACATGAAATTTCAGAATTTATTTTAAGCTGGGCATTTTCATTGTCATCTCTACCACCCAAAAGTTGTTAACATTTGTTCAATTTCCATGGGTTCAGCTTATAGCATATAATTAATTTACTATTCATTTCATTATTTTTCTTAATTTTTTTCAATGCTTTAGACTTTAAAAGTCCAAGCCACAGATGTAAAACTGTAAGGAATATAAATTCTACATTTGTGAACAATACTCTTAATTTTGCTTTGCAAAAATCTACCAAGGTTTTCAGTTCAGAACCCAAAGAAAGTTAGCCAAAACCATCAATCAATATTTACAAGCAGACTAATGTCTTCATCTTTGTCTGACCATAAATAATGGAAGTATTAATAACTTCTCAGCCCAGAAATTCAGGCAGAAAACCATCAATCAATGATGAAAATTTGAAGATGGTGGTACAAAATTATCCTCAAACCTCAGAGAACTTGTGCAAACTTCATGTAAAAACTGAATCCACTTCAAATCATTTAAAAGAAGTTGACAAGGAAAAAAAGGTGCCAAATGGATTCATTTCAAATTAAATAATGGGATAAAAATATTAAAGAGAAAAAACAACAGATTAATAGAAGAGTGTAATGATAATATTAACTGTCTCTTTATAAAGAAACATTCAGTATTCATTGACCAAGCAGCCAATATTACTTTTGGTTGAAATTTATAAAATCTTTTTATTAAAACAATTTTTCAGGAAAATAGGTTTCTCAAGTCCACTGTTATCACTTTTTCCAGTACCGAGTTGGAGGAAGTTGTTTGAAGTAGTGTGGAATGTCAACATCTTGATGTCATTTTCTCTTCAAGTTACATGTGATATCCATTTCAGTTGTTGCCATTGTTGAAAGTCTTCAAGTGTTGTGGTTTCTATTATTTGGTTAAGTTTTTGTGTTTCTGCAGTGCCAGTCCATGAGGTTCTAAGAAGGGTGGTCCTTGCTAAAATGTAGAGTCTTCATTCATTGGAAGCCATTTTTAACCATTGATTTGAGAAAGCAGTTGTTTACAGCTGACAGTTTTGATATTTTTGAACAAGTTTGATGTCATGCATGGTATCCATATCAAAGTCTTGATCTGGTAAGGCTATTTAGGAGTATGACATGAGATTTTATGTTAATGTTTTGGTTTTGTAGCAACTTGCAGTGTTAGGCAAAACTACCTATGGCACAGCAATTTTACATTCAATTTCTTTATCTCCTATACAAAATTTGATATTTGAAGGTATTTGAAGTCTTTAGTATTTAATTCCTGAATTTTTATTATGAATTCAGGGTAGGTGCTATCTCTGCTTTCATTCCAGTTCCAGATCATAGTTTCTGTTTTGGAAAGGTTTAACTTGAATGTTACTTTTTGGAACACATGGTAGAGGCTGTTGATGTTTTTTTTTTTTTGTTCAATATCATTCTTAATCCAGCTATGAATATCTAGGTCATCAGCATAATCCCTCCTCATCAGTACTAGCTTCTGGAGGGAAAGCATGAATACTGTCTTCTATTAGATTCATTTGTGGATATAGTATGGAATGCTTAAATGATCAGTGCCCATCTCTTCATACCTGTGCTTGTATAGTTGCAGAGTATAGTCTAAGAAGAAAATAAAATAGATTATGGCTCTCATTTTCTCCCTGTCATATTCCTGATATAGTTTGAAATGTTTTGGTATTAGGGTTTTTATGGAACAACATAGTTATTCTATCAGATCTAGACATTCAGTGAAATCAGAGCTTGAGAGACTGTTTCTAAAGGATATGTCTCAATTATATTATTGTTTTTTGCCTTTCTCCAAATTGAAATACATAATCTATGCTATTTGGTTTTATTAATTTGGTTTTTAATTTAAAAAAAAAAAAAATTGTTTTCTAGGAGCACTACTTTTTTTTTCTTTTTCTTTGTTAATTGTTTATTCTCCTTTCCATTTTTTTGTCTCTTTTGTTTCTTGCTTCTATCACTCTTTTGAAATAAAGCTTATTGTGTCTTATTGAGAGGATCTTTTTCCATCAGGATATTCTCATGTGCTTTGTCTAAAAGAAGATATGATCACATTGATTCTGCTATGTTTTGGTCAAGATTTAGGAACATCAGTTTGAATTCTAATTTACCACAGAATGCTACACTTACATTTTCATTTTTAAGGGCTTGGATGTTATAACTTTTGTTGTTATGCAAGTGGAAGTAAGCAATTTTGTTAGTTGGTTGGTTTTGTCAGTTTTGTTACAAGAAGTCTGTTATTAGATTCAAAGCAGAAGTTATATACTCTAACATCTGTCACAAATTGTATAAAACGAGAGTTCAAGATGTTGAAGACAATAATCATTTTGGTTACTTTATCTTGGCTATGATATGTAATCCACTATTTCAAGGGATGATCAAACCATATGTTTAGGATGGAATGTCTTTTTGAATAACAAAAATTCAATGTGTTTGACACTGCTGTTTCAAAGGGTGAAGTTTTCTTCCCATTAAAGAAACAATTAAAATATATTAGAATTAGCATTAAAATCTCCATTAATGCACTGTTTTCTGTTTGTTTTTGTTTTTTTCATATTACACAAAGCTTAGCTAAACCTCTGTACAAGTTCTCTTTTTTGGAAATAACTTTTTTTTTTCAATTGGGACACAGGCTGATATCACTTGGAATTTACAGCCACAAAATTTCTGACTGGTGTAAGATATTGTCTATCATAATTTTTAATAATTTATATATTACAATTCCTACTCCATGTTGTCCTATTTTTGTTTATGCCAGTACAATAAAAATTGGATTCCAAATGTGATATGGAGTCATTATCAAATTCATGCACTTCTTGCATACAGATAACATCAAGTTTTGCATTCTTGTATTGTTTCAAAATTAAATGCACTCTAAAATCAACTGATCTTGACTGGTGATTGATTTATCCTATTTTCCTTTTGAAAAATATTTTAAGTTTAGATTTTTTTAAATGTTGGTAGGTGACACATAATTAATGGTATGAAATTTTTGATATCTTCATTTGGGATGAAAATTTGATATTTTTTAAATGACATTGTCATAGACCTGTATAATAATTGGCTGTGAATGGGAAAATATTGTCATTTGAAGGTGTCAATATTTAATGGAACAGGAATTATTTGATATATTATAACTTCTTTTAAAGTGGTCAAACAGTGCACATAAGTAAGTAGACCAATTTGAAATTGGTGTATGCAGAATTTAAATATTGCCTTGGTGACTACTGCTGCATATTAATGCATACCCCATGTTAGAAAAATAAGGTTATTAAATTTGAATCAAATTGGATATAAAGATTTTACATTCTATTTGTATAACCAATTTCACAGTAATAGAAATTTTTCTCAAGTATCTGGATCACCATGGTGCTTAGAGACAAGATCTTTCTAAATCAGAATCAAAATGAATAAGCCTTCAATAGATAAATATAAAATAATAACATAAGGCTGTATCAATAAGTTCGTTGCCTGGATTTTAAACTGAATTTTTAATTGTTTATATGTCTGATTGCTATTAATTAAGAAATGTTGGATTAAGTGCATTGGCAAGGAAGGTGATTGTGTTGAAAAATAAGTATTTGTTGTGCAAAAAAATTTTTTTCATCCTAAGGGTAAAAGCTTATTGAGGTATAGTATTTCTTTAAATAAAGAATTCTTTTCAGAAAGAAACTGATGATATATCACTGAAGTGGAATAAATAATTTTTAAAATAAAATTTTTAAAAAATTGTTTAAGTTCATACTGAATAGAACAATATTTTTAAAACATCCTCAAATCATAAAAAAATTATCTGAAAATATTGAACAGTTATTTTTATTTAATTTATAGGGTAGGGTAATAAGTTTATAAACCTGACATGCAGTTATTAGATGAATTTTGATCTGAAATTTTCACTGTATAATGTTTAATCAATGTTAATATTCATCACTGAATCATTGACAAAGGAGATTATGTTGAAAAAAAATTTGTTACTTAAAAAAAAAAAACATTAGGCTTAGAAATTATTAGTATACCTCTAGAAGAATGAATTATTATATAAGGAACTGAGTTGGGCATCTTAACTGCAACATATACAGACATTTCTATTAAAATAAATTTTAATATATAATGGAGCCAGTGTATTCATAATTTTTTTAAACAATGGCTGACTGTTCTAAATCAGAAAGTGAAAAGACACTTAGTGGAAAAGTAGCCACCACCAATGGTTTTGACTGCTGCTATGACATTAGTACTACTGATGAGAGAGAGAGAGAAAGAAAGAAAAACAGAAAGAAAAAGAAAGAAAAAGAAAGAGAAAAAAGTGAAAGATAAAAAATAGAGTAAAAGGAAAAGAAAGAAAAAATCTTTAAAGATTCACATATGAAAACTTTCGTATAAGGACTTAAGAGCTAGTGTATTCATGTTTTTAAACAATAGCAGACTGTTCTAAATCAGAAAGTGAAAAGACATACTTAGTGAAAAGTAGCCACCATTGATGATGGCTGCTGCTATGACACTAGTACTACTGATGAGAGAGAGAGAGAGAAAGAAAAAGAAAGAGGGGAAGAGAAAAAAAAGAAAGAGAAAAGGGGAAGAGAAAAAAAAGAAAGAAAAAAGGGGAAGAGAAAAAAAGAAAGAAAAAAGGGGAAGAGAAAAAAGAAAGGAAAAAGGGGAAAAAAGAAAGAGAAAAATGTTAGTGAGAAAAGAAGGAGAAAGGAAAAAGAGTAAGAAGAAACAAGAAAAAAAAGAAGAAATCTTTAAAGATTTACATGCAAAAACTTTCTTATAAGGACTTAACAAACAAAATGTCTTGTCATTTATGACAGCACTGGCAGTATAACCAGTCTTTGACCGGGTCTTTCATTACTGGGAATTTTTACCATTCAATTAGAGCAGTTTAAGATTAAAGTCAGCCCACCTGAATTTGAAGGGTGGGGGCTGAAAAGGGCCGTTTTTGCATTCTCAATCTTGTTTCAGCCTCACACACAGCAGCAGTTGAAGAGATGTTTCTCCTCAGCCGTTGAGTCCTTTGATCATCATTTTCAGCCTTGCACACAGAAATGTTCTGGTATGCTCTTCTGGAAAGCCAATGTCTAGGTTGATCTTTGGACACAGTGGCTCTGATTGAAGCATTCCAAGATGCATTTTGAGATAGGGAAACTAAACATTCTAAAGAGATAAGTCACATAGGTCATATGATGGCTGCTTAGTGACATCACTCCATAGAGTGACAAAAGCAGCAGTCAAATTCAGGTTTGTATTACAGTAGCTAAACTAAGAGGTTGTTTTCTTTAGCCTGCCTTTCACCTCATGACCAGAGGCTAAATCTGCCTCCCCAGCAACTTACAAATCCATGGTTTTGTTTCTCTTTGGGAATATATCTTTCCCAGATATAGAAAGAAAATCAAGCTTGCAGTTCTCAATTTGGGGAAATCCAAGATTTGCAGTTTGCAACTTGTGGAATATTTCCTTGTCTGGAACACTGTAGACAAATCTAGTACATTTTAATCTAGAGTCCTAAACATACCTTCTCCAGACACTGGAGTATCTCCATGTTATATGTAAGACCCCCTCCTTTTTTGATTCTCCTTATGTTTTACTTTGGAGTAAATACAAATGGGAGTATAAACCTTTCTTCCTCTTACAATATGATCATTGTTTTTTAAATTTGATTAATTACAATAAATGTTCTGATTCTGCAATGATGGCAATATTTACAAGATTTTAATGTCATTGTACTTGATCCTTCATTGATTTATTACAGAGTTGTATAGAAAGGTAAATATTGTTTCACAACAGATATGACTGTACAGAAGTGCAATGTTGATTTAACACTGAAATGAAAGACAAACATAGAATATTTCAAAGGTAGTGTAAATATGAAACTGTAGTATTTGTTAAGAAAAACTTTAAAAATCTATATAAATTAAAATTTGGTGAAATGAATAAATTAGATTCAAATTATTGTGGACACATTATTAAAACAGTCTGTTAACTAATCAATTTCAGACAAAATAAAAAAAACTTTTATTTAAAAGAATTAACCACAATATCCCTACTGAGTGGATATCAGCTTAAAATCTTAAAATAAAATTTAATTAACTTATAATTTACAGTGAAAGATAAAAATTACATAACATTTAAAACATATGTTAAATTATTAATCTGCAGTTTCAACATTTAAGCATCTATAGTTATTAAGTTATTAGAAATTTTATACTCTTCAAGTAACATACATTTAAACTGAGCTGAGCATTTTCTGTTAAATATTTACACACATTTTTTGTCTACTACTATGTCAATGCGCTTATTATAAATAAAGGATAACATATGTAGTAGTTCACATGACAATAAGTTGCACCAACTGCAGACTAACAGTCTATTGAAGTAGTGTGGGGAATCATTAAGAAATCATCCTGTCTTGATATTTTCTGATATATGAAAACTCACTTTATAAAAAGAAACTGGACCAAAATACAAATAATTTCTGTAAAACAATTCAACAATTTCTGGAATATAAAAAAATTATATTTACATTTCATCTATTTTCTTTTCCTTTATTTTCACTTTGATGAATTTTTTTTTTTTTTTTTTTTTTGGCCAAATTTTTGCTATCTCAACCTTCCACAAAATCAAAATGTACCTAAAGATCAAGTCATAAACAAAGATGTTGGCAGAGTTTTACAATTTTATAATTAGCATTAATAAGGTTGTTGCAATAAACCAGGAATGATAATATAAAAATATCTTTACAAGTACAAACTTAAATGATTAACACTAAAACATTTAAATCTTATGATGTAATAAAAATCTCATGATTTCTGAAAATAAAAATAGAAATAGAAAGAAAAAAAGAAAATACAAGGAAAATGAAAATGTAGAAAATCCAAACACTATTTCAGAACATTTTATAAATAATGAACAAAAAAAAAATTAAGGAAAACTGTTTTCCGTTTATGTTGTGGAATAAATAAGACACTCCCAGTAACACAAATGAACTAGGCAAGATGCCTTAAATAAAGAACTCAGTCAGTAGAAGTCTGTTGGAGTTAGTCAGGATAGTGGGAAAATGACTGAAGCCAAGATGCCAGGTCAGAACCAATAACATTGCAGATTCTTTGTTAGATTTTATCAAGAATTTCTAAATATATAGCAGGAGCACCAGACCATATATAACAGCAATACTGTTTGTATGTTTTATGGCATATCAAGCCATTGGGTCATTTAATGCCGAAATTTAATGTTTTTTTCCTAAATGAAGCCAGTTTTTTTATGTAGTAAAGTTATGCTAGTTATGGCTATATTTTCTTAAATTATATTTTTGAGATCAGTTTAATTTCTCTTAGAAATTGGATCAGTATTTAAAAAAAATTCTTTTAAATTTGTTGTTTGGTAGTATTTTAAGAGGATTGAATTAAAATTGCTGCAGTTTGTCAGTGTGTGTTTTATGGTGAATGTCTCTTGGAATAACATATATACTGGAGGTTCTTTCTTTTTTAGGATATATGAATGGGTTATGGTGGTACATTCACCTGGACATAATCACTTCTTCTCTTCTAGTTTGGTGTTTCTGATGCCATTCTCCTATAGTAGGTTTAATTTTGTACAGTTTATTGTTTGGGAAGGAGTTCCATAGGTCCTGCCACTCTTCCTTAATATATTTATTGATTATTGGTTTCAGGTCTGTATATAGGAATTTGGTATTTAAGGGGTTTAATGTGCTTTTCTTGCTGCTGAATTTGCTCTATCATTCCCGAAGATATCTTTATGGCTTAGTATCCAGCAGAAGACAATATCTGTGTTTAAGTTATTGATATTTTTGAGTAGTTTAATAATGAGTGGGTTTGACAGTTTTCTGTTTTTCAGTACTGTAATCATTGGCATGGTGTCAATGTATATAATAAATTTTTATGTTTACTTGAATTTATGTTGAGGGCCAAGTCGATAGCCGTGACCTTGGCACTAAATATAGAAGCTTTGTCTGAGAGTGGTTACATTAATTTTCATTTGTGGTGGATGGCTGCACATTCAACTTTATTGTCATCCTTAGATGGACAGGTAGTCTGTGAAGGCATCTTTGATGGAGAGTAATTCTTCATGTAACGTGATAGGATTGGTTTTGGATATTTGGAACTTACTTAGTTTTAATAAGACATTTGGTTGTTTTATCATCCAGGGAGGTGTTTTAGAGTTGATGGACTCAGATTTATGCTGTATTTATTTGTGCTTTTTCAAAGACATTTTTCATGTGGATAACATATCGTTTGATGGCATTGTCTTTTTCTGTTAAAGAGATCAGTATATTGTGGATGAAATGTGCATTTATATATAAGATTTGATAGGCAGGTTGAGAGTTTAAATAATATTGAAGAGCTAGTTTTTTCCATTGGAGGTACATTTATTTCTGTATATAGGCTTTCCACTGGGGATATGGTGAAGCTCCTAAGGCTATTCTTAATCCTTGATGATGTACTGTGTTGAGTTCTTTAGTGTAGCCATATACAAACAACCATAATCAAGTTTTGATTTAATTAATGAGCAGTATATCTTGAGCAATGATCTTTGCTTGCTCCCCAATCTTGGTGAACAATAACTCTAAATACTTTTACTGGCATTTGGATCTTAATTATTTTATATGAGGTATAAATATTATTTTTTTTTTATATATAATGCCTAGGTACTTGTATTGTTCTACTACTGGGATTATGTTATTGTTGGCAGCAAGATTCTAAGCAAGGACAAATGGTAGATTTATAAATATGTAAGACAGATTTGTGCAAGAAAAATTGTCTAGCACGACACAGTGAACCAACTTCCCTAGCAGTAGACCTAGCGCTTGATTTAATATAATCTTTCCACTTCATGTCAACAGAAAAAATTAGCCTGAGATATTGCAGTGAGATTGGAGGTTGGAGATTAGCATCAGCCATGCTGATGAAAGACAGAAAGGGTTCTCTCAGATGATTAATAGAGAGGTTTCATTTTGGAGACATTAAAATAAACAAGCCATTCCTTGTCCTAGTTAACAACAAAATATAGGTCATTTTTGAGATCATCTGCCAATTTGGTCTTTATTGAACTGATCAAACTTACTATTAAGACAGAGGTAAATAGTTGTGTCATCAGCAAAGATACCGAGCTGAGAACTGATGACATCAGGAAGTTCATTTATGAAAATTAGAAACAAAGTAGGTCCAAGGATAGAGACCTGGGGGGCACCTGAATTAATGCAAAAAAATCTAAAATAGTGTCTGTTCAGGACAATTTTCATTTTACAATTTGATAAGAAACTGAATCTGTTAAAAAATACCATAACCTTTCAACTTGTGAAGAAGACCAGCATGTCAAATCCTGACAAATGCCTTTGAGATATCCAAAACAACAGCCCAAGGTTCACCATTCTTATCTAAAGCTTAAAAGACTCTTAGCAATAATTGTTAATAAATCAGAAGTCGACCTAGAGAAGCGAAAGCCATATTGCTTATCTGGAAGAAGAGGTTGTGAGGTGAGATGTGTAGCCAATTCAGACTTGATAAGAACCTCTAGTATTTTGCCAAAAAGAGATAGAAGATTAGAAGGATCAGACAGGTCACCTGAGTTCTTAAGTACTACAGAAAAGAATTTCCAACAAGCAGGAAAGCAAATAATAGCAAAAAATTTATTGTAAAGTTTAAAGAGAACAGGAGCCAGTTTTGGAGCACATTTCTTGAGGGCTATTGTAGGGATATCATTAAGTTCACATGCTTTGAGGGGAACCAGTTTAAAGATACACATTTCAGCTCATAATATCTAATTTTATTAGAAATATTTATAACTTATTTGTGGGTATGAGATTGTATCATGCAATTCAATGATTTCTTATTATATTGGAAATATATATATGTATAATAGCATAGTTACTGATATTTATTTTTTAATTTCACATTTATAAAGATTGCTGTGGATTATAAGATATAAGCTCAGTAAAGGAACGTTATAGACTTACTGATTGATAGAAATATAACATAAGAAATTGTGAAAATATGAAAAAGAGAGCAGGAAAAAATGAAAACATTGATAAAATTTTATTCTATTTTATTTGAAACTAGCAGCTGGTTGATCAGAAAAAGTGTTCAATTAGAATGGAGCAAAAGCAGCATCATGTTTAGATGTAACAAAGTCTATCTTCTTCAATTACTTTAAAGTACTTTCATTAAAAGACATTTTGAATTAATGCAGTTACTGATATAACAGATGTAGTCTGTATTTATTCAAGTTAGCTGAGAACTTCAAGGGGTAAAACAGGCAACATGGAGACCCACTTCAGACCACAGTTATTTTGGAGTTTTTGAAATTCAATTTATCAGTGTGCTACCAGGGATGTAAAAGAGGATATGTTTATAAAGCAATTGTTAAGTTTAATGAAAATTGGTTGAAAGATCAACAAAAAATAAGAAAGAAACCAGTAAAAATCGCCATTTTTTAGTATTTACGTGGATTTTCATTATATGGGTGGACTCGATTATCAAATTAAATAACTTAAACAATCAACTTATTGTTGGTTACAATTGAGTGAAGTTTGTATTAGATTGCTTGAAAATTGAGGGAGTTTTTAGTTTAAAATTTGTGTTGAAATTGATTTGTATTGAAATCTATTTTTCATTGTTTGTGGTTTTTCACTAAATGCAGTGGCATAGAAATAAAAATGAAGTATCGTTGAGCTCATCATGATATAAGTTATCTACATATGGAGTTTGAAAAAAATTAGAGGAAAAAAGTTGAATTTATCAATTTTTGGTCAGCTTTATCGATTATTGGTTTTTAAAATTTATCAATTATTTATGCTAAGAACCTACCTCTTACATTGGACAATGTATGTGCTCAGTTTGGTCAAAATCAATTGGACGTATCTCAAGTGAAAAAGTATCACACACAGACAGACATCCTTTGTTTTATATATATATATAAATCCCAAGGGGGTTACTGGGATTGACAAACACCTGAAGAAGGATGGATGCCTAAGAACTGAAATACGATAGTAACAACAAAGATGAGGACATTAGATTGACTGTATATAATGTACATATGATAAATCCTCATCCCAGAAATTAAAAAAAAGAGAGAGGCATTTAATTGTATTATTTTTGCAAAGTACAAGAAAAACAGAATATTCTGATGACACAACAAGTCTGTGCCTACAAGACAATTTAAAAAACAGTTTGAGAGACTGGGACAAATCTTATGGCAAGAATACATAAATAACATGAATCTCCAATCTTTTACATTAAATCAGATTATAATTTCTCACTTACTTTTATAAAAATAAGTAGAATTGATATTTACTAAATAAATATTCCCTAGTGACAACACTACTCTTTTTACGTAAGAAAAAAAAAACAGAAGTCTGTGTTGTAAATAGCACACAGCATAAAACTGCTAGTCTATTCTTTTCTTATCTTAAAAAATATCTAAAGTGATAACATCAACTTTAAGAAGTAAAAATTAGCTAAAATATCTGAAATTGTTAGTACATTTTTTAATTTTTAATGAAATTTATACAAAATGAAAGATTTTCACTTGGATAATTAAATTTAGTAAATCTGTTATTGTAAGATTTCAGTTAACTGAAGTTGGCATGCATTATTTTAGGTTGTGTATATACATCTGAAAACTTTTAGACTCCTACCATAAAGTAAGAGTAAAGATAGCTATGTTGGTCATAATTAGTGTAACATATTCACTTTACATGACACTATTATAAGAGAGACTAAGCTAATATTTGAAAATCTCTACCTATTCAAAGTCCTTAAAAATAGTCTTAGAGCATCAAATTTAAAAATATGATACTCTTAGACAAATTCCAAAAGGTGTGTTTTTCAACTAGAGACTTTCCTTATGACAAAAGAAATTATCAACTGATGAAGAAGAGCAAGGAATTCACTATTATCAATGATGATGAAGGAAGAGTTTGGAGATTTCAATCCTAAGTTTACTGGCTAAATCAACTTCCTGTTTGAAAATCAGAGAGAAAAAAAAATTTTTATAGAAGAGAATGCAATTAAAATACCATATTTAACGGCCCCAAAATCAGTATTCCTAAAGGTAGGTATCTCCACTAATTTTGTATATGTAAGGTTAAAGAGAATAACTATTTTTAAGAGAATAACCATTTTCATACAAGGATACATTTAACATCCATTGACCAAACAGTTGGCATGACTGTGTTTTTTTGTTTTAATCGTTTCCCTCCAAGCAAGGCGATAATGCCACTAAGATGCAAGGGGTTACTGGGAGTGAAAGAAAATCAGAAGATTTTAGGAGAAGGAACTGGAAACCCAATCCTAAACAGGAAACAAGGGATAAATCCATAGTCTTATTTAAGAGATGGAGAAGGAGTGGGAACCAGATGATAGGTGAACCTATCTACTCATATATTAATAACATTATTTTATTCATATGCTTCAGATGAAGAATGTATGCATGGCTGCTGTTTTATCTTATTTCTGTTCTGTACTGAGCACTGATTAAAATAAACAAAACTATACCTTTAAAATTACTTTATCTCTGATAACGTCAGGTGACCTTGCTAGTACTTTTTTTTTTCCTTAATCAGGTCACCCCATGCAAAACAGTAAAGCCACAAAGGGTTACTAATTGTGGGAGAGCAAGAAAAGAAGAGAAACATTAGGGAGCAAGAGAGATAAACATGTAATCAAGACAATAGATACCAATTGACATTTCATTTAAATTTTTGAAGATCAAACTTGGATGGAAAGCAAGAAACCAGTAGGAAGTTCTACAAATGAGAAGTACCAGAAAAGAAACTGTTAGCATAGAATTACAGTTACATCTGGACAATTCAACTGTAAATTGATGAGACCTTGCTGCCAATCTAGTACTGTGCTTAAATTCATGAAGTCTAGATACTATAGTGAAGAGTTCAAACAATTACCATGAAAGCATTTATAGAAAAGGCATAGGGAAACTACATTATGGTGGTGGTAAAGTGACTGATGGCAAGATGCCAGGTTAGGGCTAATAATATTGCTGATTTGGGGGGGGGGTATCAAGAATCTCTAGATATATGGCAGTAGCATAGGGCCATATGTGGCAGCAATATTCAAAGCATGGATGAATGGTAGACTTATAAATATGCAAGATAGATTCTGGAGAAAAAAAATGTCTAGCACAACAAGTTTAAGATGAGTCGTTAATATATCCAGTGTTGCTCAAACAATTAAACGTTCCCTTCATATGCTGGATGTTTGGCTGATCCATTGTTTAGTCTTCATCTAAAAGAAAGAAGTCTCCTTTTTTCATTCATACATCACACCTGATGATGGCTGAATAGATTGACCAAAATGTTATAATCACAACAGTAAGTATAGAGAAAAGAGGTTTATAGTGTTGGGTACATCCTTAATTTTGTTGCTGGGTACTTACTGTTACTGCTAGTTGAAATTTATAAAATCTTTCCCTTAAGTTTCTCATGTCCACTAAATTTTAGAGCTCTGATGGGGGTTTCGTCCCTAAACTTTGGTTTAAGATAGTGTAGAAAGTGAACATTTTGATTATATTACTATTTTCGCTTTGTTACATGCGTTACCTATCTTAGTTGTTGTTGTTGGAAGAATTTATGTGCTGTGGTTTTTGTTATTTTGCACAGTTCTTCATTTCTGATTCTGTAGCATCAGTTTATGAGAGTTTTGATGAAGAACAGCCTTCTTTAAGACTTAGAGGATTCATTTGCTTGAAGCCATTTTTGTTGTATATGACTGATATAGTTTAATAGTTTAAACATTTTTGAATGAGCTAAACAAGAACATGAATTGAATTGTTAGGTTAGTGTTTTGGCTTTTTAGCACCTTATGTTAGGTTTCTAGGGCACATAACAAGGAAAGAGGTCTTGGAAAATCTGGTACTCACTGGACAGATTGAAGGGACAGAGGAAAACAACACATAACATACTTAGTGAGTTTGAGTATATGACAGAACAAGATTTACGAGAAATAACAGAAAGACAAAATTTATTAAAAGCTACACATGAAAGGAAGCTGTGGAGAGCCATGACCACCTATGTACCGATAGGACATGGCACATAAAGAAGAAGAAAAAGCATCCTGTAGACAAAACTACCCCCAGTGCAGCCTTAGAGAGTTTTTATAAATTAAAAAAAAAAGAAAGTTGCACTGGTTACTTGGTAAATATTTGTCAAATGTTTCCTTATAAGAAAACAGTTAATTTTATCATAACTATTACATGTTCAATTTTCTCATCTCTTTGATTAAATCAACCATGGTATTTTGCATCAAGTTTCTTACAACATTTTACCTTTCTTGGCAGATTATCATAATGTGGGATACTTAATAAGACATGTGCATCATCCATTTCACAGAATGTCACAAGGTTATGCAGGAAAAAATTGCCATGGTCAAACATTGCCATCATTTTTTATAGTTTAATAATTTTATTTACCAAAATAAAGAGTTATATAACAATTTCTAATTATAGAACTTACAAAATATAGATTGCATTATATAATGGTTCAAGTATCAAAGATAGCAAATGATGTGTTATCTTTGGTTAATTTGTTCTTTTTTACAGCTTAATTCTTTTTGGTTTATTTAAAGCTGAAGCACATTCCAGATTGTAGTAAGCTGCTTAGAGTATCCAGTGTTCACAAGAGGTTCCCCATCTAATTACTGACCAGGCTCAACTCTACTTAACTTTGGTGATCGAACAAGAACTAGTGTTTTCTCCATGATTTGACCATAAACAATGGATGTGTTAAAGAGACACAATACCAGAGAAGTAATATAGGTGCTTCTGATATATATTTAGAGATTCTTGGTAAAATATAAAGAAGAATCTGAAATGTCAGTGGTCCCAACCAGGTATCTCAGCTTCAGTCACTTTCCCACTTCTGTAATGCAGGACCTTACAAGGTGATTATTCTGATGGAATTTACTCTATGGTACCAAGACTTTATGAATTTAAGCACTAAATTGGTAACTAGGTCTCACCATTTTACAGTTGAAATTGCTAGATGTAGTCATAAGTTCTATGTTAACAGTTTCTTCTCTCATTTCTCGCTTCTCAACTTTGATCTTCAAAAATTTAAATGCAATGTCAATCATTATCTTCTGTATTCCTTATTCCTGTTCTTTTATTGTATTGTCCTCTCTCCTTAATAATGGTTTTCTTTCTCTCTCATTATTTTACACTCAGTAACCCCTTCCATCTTAATGGCTTTATTGCCTTGCTTGGGGTGAAATAATTTTAAAAAAATCCTATTTATGAGAGTAGAACGTAAAGAAACTTTGGACTATTTAGATTCTTATCAGCTTGTACTTATTACAGAGAAATATCAGGTATATCAAAATCATTAAGTGCTTACAGGTATACAATATTAAAAGAATGCATTTGTGAGTTTAGATCAATGCTAGAGATCAGGAAAAGAAATACTAATATCAATTCAGTGCTAATTAACCTTTTACCAATAATCATGTGGTCTTGTGGGTGATGAATTATTTTCCCTATCCCACAGATAAAATGTTGCAAACCTCTCACTACTCTTTTGCTATTTCCATGGCAAATGTTCTGACAGGCTCTATTCTTTAGTTCCACCAATTTTGACTTTCACAACTAAGACCTGTCATACCACATACACTGGGATAAATAATTCCCATTCTCTTTGTATTAATTAATAAGAAAGAAATTCCATTCAGACAGCTTCTTTCCAAGAACTGCGACTTTGTAGAATAGACACCTGAGAGGATGCTTCCCCAATCATTACAATCTTAATCTCTTTAAGTCTAAGGTTAACTATTATCTTTCCTATATATTCTCTTAAACTGCATTTCTTATCTCCTCCTCCTCTTACATGCATCACTCAGTAACCCTCTACCTTGAGTGGTTCATAGGCCTTGTATTTGGTGAACAATTAGTAAAAAAAATAGTAAGGTAAATTACCTAATTTTAAAATAAATGCAATCCAGGTTGGTAAACATGTGTTCTTTTAAAGTAAAATCTTTTGAAAAAGGCCTGAAAAAATGGAACCAAAAGATAAACATAGTAATAGTTTCAGACTCAGTATCAAGTTGAAATTCATTTACCTTGCATCACGTCTAATTGACCAGTGGTGCACCAAGAAGGAAATGAGTGTAGAGAAAGTATATAAAAGCAAGGACATTAAATTTATAAAAAATAAAGATTGTATCAAAACAATGAGTCAACTATTAAAAAGCAAAAAAGTGAAGATACCACTGAGACAAAATTGAAAAAAGTGTAAATTTAAAACAAAAAAAGAAAAGAAAAGAAAAAGCACATTTTATTCCCTTTTAGAAAAGCTAACAAAAGTAACCAGACACCACAAAAAGAGAAAAAAAGACTGCAACTGTGAAAGAAGTGAAAAAATTCAGTCAAAGAGAAGAGTGTGAGCCCGCATGCTTGCTTGCCTTAGAATAAAGCCTTAGAGGGCCTTCTTTTGTTATACTTTTATTTATATATATATATATATATATATATATATATATATATATATATGTGTGGAAATAATGAGACAAAAGGGAAAACTTTTAGACATTGCATTTCGTCTACATGTACGAGGTGGGCGTCTTCAGGTCGGGATGAAAGACAAAACTGTGTGTAAGTCCACTTTGCTTCATTATCTCCACTTTTGTTAGGATACTATTCTATAACCTACTAACATGTGCACACACACACGTGTGTGTGTGTGTGTGTGTGCACTGTAAGAAATATTTTAATTTATAATGTTCTTTCTACTGAAATATATTCTTTCTATTCTCAATATTAAAAAGGTTTTCATTCTATGCTATTTTAATAAAATTTCCAGTGATAATTTTTTTATAAGATATTCACTTATCCCAGAGGAGTATAAAATAAATCAAGAATTTTAGCCACATTCTTTTCTTCTATCTCATCATGTAGTATTCATCTTGAAAAAAGTGACATATTTATGCTGGTAAATTCTTTCTCTGATTATTATGGCTTTAAAAATGAACTTATATATATATATATATATATATATATATATATATATATATATATATATATAAGACAAAGGGGGAAGAACAAAGACTAAAAAAAAAAAAAAGAAATTACTTATCATACAGTATTTTTTTTTTTAGTCATGCACATATTAAATATTCTTTTGTCCTTGATTGAGCCCCGAAGAGTGACAAACAATAAATGGTTTTAACTTTTTATTGTTTCTTTTTGGTTATATTTTTTGATTTACAGTGAGCAATTATTTTTTAATCTTTTGCCTCTTCCCACTTTGTTTTAATATATGTTATGTGAATATGTATTTTCAAAATGTCCATTTTTAAAGCCATAAAAGAATTCTTCCGATTAGTAAGAAATTACTAAGAAAATTAAGCAATCTGAATACTTATTCTTCTTAATGCAAAAAGAAATAGGTGTATTCAATTACAACTGAATGAGAACAAATGAATTATTCTTAACAATTACCTTTGCTGCTCTAATTCCAATTTGTCATGCCTATTAAAAAATATTCTTGTTCAGAAAAGTAAAAGGCTTTATAATACGTAAAATGTGCTATTAAAAAGTTCAGAGATAAAAATATTGGTGCCACCCTTAAGAATTTGAAGTTAAACAGCTGAAAAATTAGCAAATTCAAATATTAGCTCAGGACTTTCAAATCCACTAAGAATTTGAGTAAATAAATGTGTGTGTGTGTATAAGAATTCAGATATAAATAAAATATATCTGTAAAGACAATACTTAATGATATTTTTCCTCCATGTTACTTGTGTATAAACAAAAAGTTATTATATATATATATATATATATATATATATATATATATATATATAGTCACACACATAATTTATTTGAAAATTATAATATAAATATGTTATAAAATCACTAGAAAATAGCCATTTTGTTTCAGCACTTCTGGTGTCTTATCAAGTGATACACCATCACTTGATAAGACAATTCAGTCACAATTCAGATGGTCTGGTCATATCATCACAATGAGTGATGATCAGATGCCAAAAATTCTCATGTATAGCCAACTTTTTCATGGTAAGTGTAATGTAGGCTGTCCTTGGTTATGCTTCAAGGGTAAACTCAAATACAATTTAAATGCTGCAAACATCCTTATAGAGGAGTTTGAAATTGCTGTGGAAAACCAAGCAATGTATGTATACATACACGTATACACATGTTTCATTAAAGAAAACTGACAAGGTACTGCAATTAATTTTTTTTTAATTTAATTTTTCTCCTGTTCCTATCCTTAATAATGGCTAATAGAAAAGCCAAAACTGCTTGGATATATAGAACATTTGGACAGGCTTTACACACTTTATGTCCAGAAAAGAAAATACTTATATGAACAAAATAAAAAAAGCTTAATTGCAATACCTTGTAGGTCATCTTTAATGAAACTTGTATAAAAGAAGGATTGCTGCCCAAATAGACATATATATATATATATATATATATATATATATATATATATATATATATGCTCTTGTTCGCCGATTGAGCACTATGGCGAAAAGGAAATTTTTAACAGCTTCTGCTGCTTTAATGCATTACTTTTGTAAGAATTGAGAACTATGGCTGCTGGCATTTATATTGCATGTATATAATGTATTAAAAAATTCCCTTTCTCTGCTGTGTGCCAATAGCCTATGGGTAAGAGTCTCTGACTGATGTCAAATTGGTCGAGTTTCCATCTTGGCTTGAAGGAATCAGATGTCTAGCCACACTGATGAGCTGTGATACAGTGAAATAAGTTGTCTGCGGATGACTATATCTATATATCTATATATATATAAAAAAACAGCCACTACAGTTCAAAAGTTTGAAGTAACCCACAGAATTAGCATGGAATGGAATGAACTTGACAGAAAAATGAAAAAAAAATGAAAAATAGCTCTTAGAGTCATTGAAAAAAGAATGGAATCAATTATGAAACTTAATCTTTGAAAATCTTTTGCAACAAATGCCAAAAATTTGTGCTGTAGTAATCAAGGCTAAAGGAGGATATTTTGATGAGAGCAAAATTTAATCATGAAATGACTTTTTCTCTTTGTCATAAAAAAATTTTAATAAAAAATCATGTCTAGTTTTTTGTTTTTTTTAAACCATGTATAATAATTTTCTCTTATTTGTAGTACAAATCTACTATTTTTGGGGCCAATTTAAAAAAATTACCTGTGTAGCCTCAAACTTTTGAAATGTAGTGTGTGTGTGTGTATATATATATATATATATATATATATAAAATTAGGAATAATAATGTTCAATACTAGTTAATGTCAACTGTAAGTTTCAGAAATGACATCGATAAGTATTACACTTTCTTATTTTTGATTCAACTAATTGTCATACGTTAGATTATACTACTGTACACATTATATAGTGTAGCTCTGTATGTATTATACCGTATGCATTATATAGTTTAGCTGTAGATGAATAACAAGCACTTTATTAGCAAAAGTCCTGTTCACCAAGATTGTCTAATTTTATTTATATTTCACCTAATAGCTACCATCATATATATATAAAATTTTAAATATAACTAAAAATATATCTATAAACGGGCAATATAAATAAAGATAGGTTTTCCTTATATATATATATATATATATATATATATATATATACACACACACAGTTTAATATACAAGCCGATTGACTACTCAAATACAAGTATCCACTAATAATAACGTGATAAAAACCTGTCAGAATAATTAATTAATTAATAAATCCATTG